AGTCAGGGAGCAAATATTTATAACTGAGCCTTTGCATATGGCATACATAAACATTCAGTATCATGTACATTTAGTGTATTCTAATATTTAAATAAATGATGTTCACTTTAATCACTTATGTGAATGAAATTGTTTAGAAAAAGGCTAAATTAAAGATGAATGTAAAACTCTAGCTTACTTTAAAAACATTCATAATAATTTAAATAGCTAATGTACATTTAGTGTATTCTAATATTTAAATAAATGATGTTCACTTTAATCACTTATGTGAACGAAATTGTTTAGAAAAAGGCTAAATTAAAGATGAATGTAAAACTCTAGCTTACTTTAAAAACATTCATAATAATTTAAATAGCTTACTGCTAACCTCCACATTGCAAAGTCATCATAAACCTATTTTCATAAACATGTTTTCTTTCTGCTGCTATTGTTTGCTCCGTCTAAGCGAGGGGCTATCTGGATTCATTTCAAATGTTCTTATATTACATGTCACTCTAAGGAAATCTTTTTCCAGATAAGTTGTAACGAACATGTATTTTTTAATGGCAGGTATTTTATCATCTGTAGCCATTTAGATTATAGGTGTGGGATCCTGTTTTATATGGCACCCTGCTACCGTGGAACTTTTCTTTTAGCTGTTTGAGTTAGAAAGCCTCTGCCAAACAAAACAGTAGGAGGGAAACTGTAAAAAAGATTTAAAATGCTAAAAAAAGAAATAAGTGAACAAGCAGCAATCTAAACATAAACTAAAGGACTATTCCCATGACCTACGTTTGAGGGAAAAAAATAAAAGATGCGGAGAACTAACAGAATACAAGTTTAACATCTCACATATTGTCTTTACAAGAAGTAGAAATTATATCAGCTGATATATAAGTACACTGTTGTACTACAGGTGTTCTGTCACAAATCTCAGACATTATTTTGTCAGATTCTGACTTCATATAACTTCTTTCTAAAATGAGACAGAACAATATAAAATTTTAAAAGAGAAATTAAAAAATGCTCTTCTCAGGAAAGCTCACTGAAATGTAAGGCAGAAGCAATTATGGACAATAATCCAATCACGAAAATGGGATAGTCTCAATATCGCCCTTTGAAATACCCTTGTTATCTGGTTAGTGACTGGTACGACTTCAGAAAATGAATCTCATCTTTCTTTGATTCAGGCACACTGCTTTTTTACAGGTTTGAAACGCATGTAATCAGATGAGTATTAAAAGTGAAATATATAACATATTATTTAGTATTTGAAGGAGAGTATCTTTATTCAGATTGAATACAATCCAACATTTCAATTACACACATACTTTAATCTTCAGGAGAAAGGCTGATTTAGGAAAAGAGAAGGAGTTAACTTGTGCGGAGCCCAGAGTCAGTCGGTCAGTCCATCTGTCAGTCAGGCATTCTCTTAAATAACACTCTTGAGCACTGGTCAGGAGCCAGATGTCTGGACTCTGGGCATGCACACATAGGGACATTTGTGTGCCTTATAACCTGCAACCCTCCTGCACAGCTGGAATCACTGCTGGGATTTCCAAAATTCAGAAAGGTTAAGTCACCATCTGTCAGTCAGGCATTCTCTTAAATAACACTCTTGAGCACTGGTCAGGAGCCAGATGTTCTGGACTCTGGGCATGCACACATAGGGACATTTGTGTGTCTTATAACCTGCAACCCTCCTGCACAGCTGGAATCACTGCTGGGATTTCCAAAATTCAGAAAGGTTAAGTCCTATACTCAAACTCAAGGCAGAATATGGACAGGGACACAGTTGTAGAAGCACTTCTCACCACCACAGTTATCCTCAAGAGCTAGGTAGGGGAATTCAGTCACTTAATCTATAATACTTTTAGTCAAGGAAGAGTTCATTAAATCTCAATTGGTTAAGTCCTGAATTAAACTCTGAACCAGACTGGATAAATCATCTCATTTTATAGTCCTATCACATGTATCTACTTATTGGGAGGCCAGGAGGCATTTTCCAGTTTCCTGCTCACAGAGGGAATGCCATCCTTTTTCTTTTGTCCATATTTTCTCTTAACTAGCTGTGCAAGAACAAGTGTGGCCTTCTAGAAAGGATTGCAGTCTCATCCTTCTAAATGTTACGGCAGGCGTCCTAAATCAGTCTGAAGAATAACCTATCAATTAATTTCCAGTGTTGTATAATACCAGTATGTGCCCCTAAGCATCACTGAGGGAAAGAAGAATATTTTGTAGGTGGCTTTATAGAACCATTAGAAAACAAAAGTATCTTGAAGAGGACTAGCAATATTTAATATATGAAATACAACTTTGGTTTGTCGGTATTCATCAATTAATATTAGTGAGATTGGTCCTCTTTCCTAATCCTAACTTTAAAGTCATACCAGCCTATCCAGTTCCTCTCCAGCAATAATCAAATACATGAAATGGGTGCTCACTGAATCAAACACAGAGGTGACTTCATGAAGACATAAAGATGATAAAAAGGTTTCACTATCTCTTAAAATTAGTGGCAGCTAGTGAAATAACAATAGCTAGCATTTTGCAAAATGATAATCTCAAGGAAATACGTCTAGTCTAATCAAGCTATTTACATTTTCCTAAGGAAAATATTTGTGGCCTTTATTACACAGGACCAAATACATGAACAAAAGTAACAGTCAACTGCCCATACCAGAAAATTAAAAGTAATATGTTATTGTTCTTTCCAGTTGATTGATTCATTATTCATTTCACAATTATTTACTGAGGACCTACTTACTATGCACTAAGCACCAGGGCTACAGTGATGAATAAAAGAGATATGGTTACTACCTTCATAGCGCCTATGGTCGGGCAGCAGACAATCAGAAAACATTTATAAAAAATACATATGTTCGTAAGCAGTGATAATAAGATGATGAAAAATTACTGTTTCTTTTGAGGATAAATAAAAGTAACTCTGTGAAAAATGACATATTACTAATACTATTAATACTATTGTGGCTTCTGTTGCCTCAAACGTATTGCAATTAAACAGACTTTAATGTTTTAAGCTCTTTTCCAACATCCTGTTATAACTGCAGAGCAATGCAGAAATTGAGATGTACATGAGCAAGTATAGATAAAGTGCTATATAGATAAAGAGACAGGACATACAAATAAGGAACAAGAAGCAGTTTGGTTTAGCAGCAACTTCAGCAAAGTGAAGTAGGGCAATAGAATTAAGGCTACAAAAGGTGGAGGGGGAGGTGTTGAGTGCTTTGAGTATCAGACCAAAGTTTCCAAGCTTTGTCAGTGGGGAGAAGGGAAACCGATAACGAACTTAGAATGTGACTTTGTGAAGGCTGATGTTATTATTTTAGAAGAAATAGGCAAAATGTATAAGGAAGGGATAAGCAATGCTTAGGAATATCATTTAAGGGACTGCCACAATAATTAGTCAGTGAGGGTCTGGATTACTAATACATCAATGGGATTTAAAAGAAGACAAGTATAAACTATTGAAGAGAAAACATTTTATGAGTCAGTAACTGTTATGGACCGAATGTTTGTATCTCCTCAAAATCCATATGTTGAAATCTTGACCTCCAAAGTGATGGCATTAGGAGGTGGGGCCTTTGGGAGGATAATGAGGTCATAAGGGTAGAGCTCTCATGAATGGAATTAGTACCTTTATAAGAAGAGACATGAGAGCTTGCTTCCCATCTCTGCTCTCCACCATAGGAGGAAACAATGAGAAGACAGCCCTCTGCAAGCCAGGAAGCAGGTCCTCACCAGACACTGATTCTACCAGTACCTTGATCTTAGACTTCCCAGCCTCCAGAAGTGTGAGAAATAAATCTCTGTCATTATGTCACCCAGTCGATGGTATTCTGTTACAGTAGCCCTAATTAAGACAGTAACTGACTGGATACAGAAGACAACCCTTTGAGGATTAAAATCCAAGATTCCACCAGGGACCGTTGAGCTATAAGCAATAAAGCAGGATGGATGATAATGAGTTTGATTTTAAATCCAATGAGTTTGAGGTACAGGCAACACATCTAGCTGAAGCTTATCAGGAGGGCAGGACTAGAAATCTAGATTCGTCATCCTCATAGAAGTGACTATGATGTTGGAAGGGTAGCCAAAGAAGAAAGCAGAGGTAGAGAAAAGCACTGAAAACAGAATCTTAGGGGAACCTTAAATTCAGTGGTCATGAAAAGATGTCAGAGATGACAGGAAAAGAGCAATTGGGGAAATAACTGAATCAAGAGAGTGGAGAATAAAGGAAACCATGAGAATGAGATCAAGAGCATTCAGTGAAATCAAGTGCTGGGGAGAGACTGAGGGATACAACGTCTGAGAACAGGCACTGGATTAGGAAGAGAGAGAGTTTTACTGGTTGCTAATTACTAATCATGTTTGAAAGAAGAGTCAAGTCTCAGATGTGATGACTGCTGCCCCATGCCTGAAAACTCTGATAGAGCTCTATCATCTTATATTTCAAGGGAGAATCTAGGTTATTCTCTTGCCATGTCTTTGAGGATATCTTTGATGCCTTATCACTCTAGCAAATATAAGTGCTATAAGAAGCAAAATAAAGAGAGTGTATATCTACATTTCTCACTCTTTGATAGGGAATTCTGTGGGGAAGGTATCAGGCCCAATTATCATTTTCCTTTAACAGACCAAAAGTCTAAAGCACTTAAAGATGTTCAGATTATTCATAATGTCAGTCATGCAATAATAAATGAGGGCAGGCCCCTAACTTGCTATGTAAGAGCCTTATCTTCTATACATTATATTTGACCATATACTCACACAGTTTTAGTGTGGAGTTCCAAGTAACATTTTAGGACTCATTTGACATAAGATATTTCATCAAAGTTATTTTTCTTTAACCATATCTCAGTGCATGGCAATATTTTGTAAGAATATGGAAAATTAGTAATTATATCAGGTTAAATTCACAATGTATATCACGTTCTTACTTAGTAATTCTTCTAGAAGTTAAATTGAGAACATAGTTAGAGAATTGCAGATTTACGTACCTGTGGTACCCATCTGGAAGACACAAAGCTGGTTACTTCTATTACAGACAAGCCAGTTTGGGAAAGTTGATTGATAAATTCAATTTTTATATCTGTAGGAACTATAACCTATAAAACATCCAAAGTTATTTTATTTCATCATTTTAAATGGTATAGAAGCACACACAGATTACTTCCTAACTGAAAGCAAATAAAATTTATGATTTATAAATTCAAGTAGCAATTAAGAACAAACATAGCCATGTAACATAAAATCCACAGAAGTCTTTAAAATCTTAAGAAATATTAATATTTAGACTTATCATTTGAAATAAACTGTGTAAAAACTAATATAAAACTACCTTTTCATTCTGCAATCCATCTCTAGGTCCAACTTCTACTATTTTAACATACTCAGGGAGTCCAGATAACTGAGATGATTCCTGGAATGCAAAACACAAGATAAGAAAAATAAATAATTTTCAGGTTGCCACACTGGATTATTTGAAGACTTAAACAATCACACTTGGTTAAAGTCTTCCACAGAAAGTTAAAACAGTAAGAACTCAACACAATGACATAATCTAAATATCCTGTTTATATAATTTTCAACATGAATTTATTTTTTCTTATAATACTTCTTACGCTATTCAGTCTAGTTATGACTAAAATTCAAAAGATTAATTTCTAAAATATAACTCTGGAATAGTTAATTTAACCAGTATCCAAAGAGCAAATCTGTTGGGTAATTCTGTGTGTAAGGATAAACTCACCAGTTAGAGTTAATTAAAAAATTAGATGCTCATATTAACAGACTTCTACCATGAAGAATCACACAAGATATCACCCTTTATACCCTGAATTTGAGTGTGGATGGCTTGTGCCCAGAAAGTTGAGGCTAGATAAGAAAACTTGCTGTTTTTTCTTCTCTGTTACAAAGCACAGTTACCACCTAAATGCTGTTCTCTGAAGGACAGACCTTTAATAGTATCCAAACCTCAATATCCCACTCAGAATAGCCTACTTCTAGCCCAGTGTAATAAATACCCTGTTCTACATTTTGCCCAAGTCTGAGATGGCAAATTCCGGAACCTCTGTCCCTAGACTCGGTACTATGGACCTAGTTTAGAAGGTCCATTTGCCTTCATAATATTCCTACTTAGAAGGCTATGATTTAAAATAGGAAAAAATAGGAACAGCCTTTCTAAGTTTCATATAGTAGTTAAAACCAAAAGTAAGTTACATCTTTTCAGACTGTACCAACATAATCTCTGGGTACCCCTGAGCTCAGAGTGGGTAACCCATCATCAAGTTCTTCAAATGAAGAGTTGATAGAATCAGCCCAAATCCACAGGGTCTGTGCTTCCAAGTTTTGTTTGTTTGTTTTATTCGTATATTTTTTTATTATACATACATGTGGGGTACATTGAAAAACGTTGATTTTCAATAATTGTGTAGAATGTGTGGTGGTTAGATCAGTATAGTTAGCTTATTCATCATTACAATTCACAATCATTCTTTGTGACCATTGACCAATTCCTCACTAGCCCCCCCTCCCCTTTTCCACCTCTTGTTTTCTAAAAGTTCAGCGTATTATTGTGATTTTTGTTTCTTTCTTTCTTTCTCTCTGTCTCTATTGTTCATTTTTTGTTTTGCCTTTCATCAGGAATAATGAATTCAAGCAAACCAATTCATATTTTCTCACTCTGTCATTGTAACAATCATTGACACATACCGATGAAGTGGTTGTTTTGGATGCAGAACCCACTTTGTATCTATGGCACAGAAGAATGCTCTCTGGCCATTTCTGGGCCCAAAGCCATTATTAGCTTTACCAGCATTCTATGCTAACTCAGCGAACGTTACTGTTACAATGTTTATAGACCACCCTCCACAGTTCCCATGAAATTCGGCAATTCAATAAGAAAAATTAACAAAGAAGGAAAATTCTTATTTCTGCATCTTCTGTGCAGGTTGTGATGAATTACATTAACTTGGGAGGGTGGAGGGTTGAGAAGGGAGGCGTGGGGGTCCTCAGGTTTAGGCTCGGTTTTGGATGGCAATCATGAAATCATGACTAATTTAGAGTGGTTACAATTTCCACCAAGCAATAAAGGAAAGGTATAGCATGGGAAGGAGGAGTAAATGAGAAGACTCCACTCTTCTTTCTTATTACCTCCAGTCCTACGACGGCAGAAATGAAACAAAAATGAAATTAGGCAATCTTAAGCCATGTGGTCTCATTATCCTGAAACTGCATTTTCAACAGCAATTAACTTGGGGCACACATGGACAAAGAGTACTTTACTAAATGGCAATGTTTACTTAAAAAAGGAACATAGTGTTGAGATAATCTGCTGAGTACAATTAAAGAGCTGGGGACCTTCCTCTGCATCAGCATGTTGTAGTTGGCATTATTAACAAGTAACCTGAAGAAATTAAAGTATAGGCCACCAACAATTAGGGCCGTTTCAGTCAAAACAGAATATTTTCTTATTTGATATTATTTTAGGTTCTTCTTGAATATAATGCTGTTTAGCTTTTCTAAACAATTTGAATTGTCAGTGACAGAAGAAATTCACAAATACAGTCAACAAGTAATTACTTACTACAGTCTGTGTTACGTACTGTGCTGAGTAATGAGTATATGCTAAAATAGAACCAGGAATAGATGGACCAATTATATATAGGAGGTAAAAGAGAAGGTAAAGAACAGTATGTTGTGGGGAATATTGGAGAAGAAGCATGTTCTGGTGGGGAGATAATGAGCTCATTTTGAATTTCTGGATTATATGTGCTTGTAGAACATTTACATGGATTTGCCTACTATGCATTGTTTGTACATATCTGAAGCTCCTTAGAAAAGTAAATACAGAGGTAGTAATACCCAGGAAGAGACTGAAGATCATCAAGAGAAGGCTCTCACATGATACATAGTCAGCAAGTATGAAAGGTGACCCACTGGAGAATGAGAAACTGGAGGAGGACCAGGGGACACATGCCCATGCAGTGGGTTACATTTCAGGAACTGTACTTGGGGACCTCAATATTTCATAATGGGCAGTAGGTACACCTGCCCTTTGTTCCAGAAGGAGACACTTTCCCTGCCTTCCAAGGCTTTTTGCTATAAAAACATCCTTGAGAAGACAGTCCTAAATAAAGGCATTAGTGCCTCGCTAGTAAGATGAAGAATTGTTTCCCAACACTTATTACCTTCATTAATTCTCAGATGTTCTCCATAACCAAAACACTTATTCATTATCCAAGATTCAATTTGTCCTCTATTCAGGAAAGACTTTTCAGATCTCCCCAGATAGAATTAAGTAATTTCATTTCTATGATCCCATAACACTTTGTAGAGGCCTATTTTAAAATATATCTGTATTTCTTTGCCTGCCTGTTTCCCCTTTTTAGATTATGAACCCTCAGAGTCATCAAAATGGACACGTAGTAAGCACTGGATCAATATTTGTACATGAATGAATGAATGAATGAATGAATGAATTCCTATATCACACGTAGTAAGCACTGGATCAATATTTGTACATGAATGAATGAATGAATGAATGAATGAATGAATGAATGAATGAATGAATTCCTATATAAAATTTAGAAAAGTAAGATTGGCCTCTCATTTAGCCAACACATGCTAGCCAACATTATTACAGTTACTGGGTGTATGAAATGACCTATCCAAACCAGAATTCCTGCCTATAACTACATTACATTTTAATGGTAAAGAGATCTGGAAGCTACTGTGAAGCAAGGGGGTCGGGGGCACCTTTTCTACACACTGAACATGTTAGAGTTGATGTATTATTTGTAAAGTTACAAGGAATTGAGTTTTTTTAAAAAAGTACTCTGCAGAAGTTAGAAGCATAGTCTTTTAAAAGGCCTGTACTATAAAATTTATTTTTATAGCATTAAAAGTCCTATGTTACTTAGCTCAATGTATCCTGTTTAATGTGCAGTATAGTGTATGATACTAGTGAAAAACAAAAGATGTATTATCCAGCAAGTGTTTCAAAAAGCTATGTTACACGGTTGAGTGTATGCCCACATTTGGCATCAGATTTCTAACGGTTCACTTTCATAGGGCAACAACAAAAGAAATACTATCTTACATTTATATGTTGCTTTATTTTTCCAAAGAACTTTTCTATCTGTGTTTCATCTGTAAAGCTACCCTGTGAGGTAGGCAGAACTGAAAGAGAGATTAAATAACTTTCTAAGTTTACCCAGCTAAGTTCCCTGGCTGCTATTCTAGTTTTCTTTAGGATAAGATTAAATACATCACCAACTATTGAGTTTTGGTTTAAAAAAATAATAATGAACCATTCTTTTATGCAGAACATAAGTGATCAGCTTTACTCACATTTCATTCTTACATAAAATCAAATGGAAGGCATATTTTGATGGCGATTTCTTTGAAATGTGTGTGTGTGTGTGTGTGTGTATAATATATACATTTTCCAGCAGTAGTAATGGGGAACTTCTATATATTCAACCAACCCTCCTAATAGTTATAGACAGGACTGCTTATTACTTACAATACAAGTACTGTTTTTTTTTTTTTTTCACTAGGCAAATAACACCATCCATTGTAGAAATTTCTGTACAGATTTGTATATGTTCCACTCCATTTCTTGAGGAATAATTTTTTGTGTGTATATAAAGTCTTTACGAATACTGAAATATCCTGTTTCATAGCCAGTATTCCCAAGGAAATCCACTATGATGGCCAAATCAAATGTTCGCACTACACAGATGACAAGTCTGAAGCAGAAAATTGCTTAAATTTCTTTTGAAATTCAATTGAACTTTTTAAGGGACCATTAGATATCAGCTTTTCTAAAAGTATCTATTTTTGTCATTTCATCTGAAATATGCATGTGGTGCATTTTGTCGTAATGTTAAACTCTCCACATTCTATTTGTCATTTCTTAGATATTAATTTCTCTTTTAACCAAGTATAATTCGAAATGCACAAACCATTATCACTGATACAGCAGATATCCACAGGAGTCTTGGTCCCCCAGAACAACCAAAAGTCATTTCTCTCCCTAGGTGCCTCTCTAGAATGAAGGGCTGAATCAACATAGATGATATTTAAAACATTCCTTTCAGAATATCCACGTACCAAGGTTGATTTAAAGGCAATCTTTGGCAGTTTAATAAGAATTTATTTGTAACCAAGTAAAAATAGTGTGTAATATACTATTAAGTCATCTAAAACTCCATCATATATTGTGATTTACTAAATTAAAAGGTAAAGGAAGGTATCTGCTTACTTTTTAGCAATTTTTGGATGCCAGAGAGAGGTGGAGAGTTTACCATGCTGTGTTCCCCACAGTCTTCGGTCACAGTTTTATTTTTTTTAATTTATTTATTCATTATTATTATTATTTTACATTTTAAGATGCTATTGTGGAGCAGTTGGGGG